GCCTGGCAGATGCTCTACATAGCTTTCAGTGGTTTCTTTTTGAGAGATGATAAAAAACATTTTATTTTTATAGTGAAGTTTGGTGAAGTTATCACTAAATAAGAAATCTAAATCTAAATCTAAAAATCCAGTTTTTAGAGAAGAAAGAAAAATCAGGATTTTATTTTTGGCCAAAATCGTGCAGCCCTAACTCTAAGATGCTTTGAGCTTTGAGGTCAATTGGAAAACTTTTGAAATTCAGATGTCTGATCGAATGTCAGGTAAAGTTCTGATTGTTTTGAATAATTCATACGTAAATGTTGACTTTTTCCACTTTTGAATCTGTTTAGTAGATATGCAGCACAAAGACAAATGGGCAGCACCAAAAACTAAATGTTAGTAGAAGTTTGGAGAAATACGTAGAGAATAGAAAACACAAATGATGAGAATGGTGTAATTTCAATTTCATCAAGACAGAGTTATCTAACAGGTTGTCTAGCAGCTGTTAAGCCACTTCAAGGAGAAGCTCACCACACTCTAAACTTCCTGTGTCAAACGAAGTTCGGCAAGTTCCATTAAAAGAGAGTGTGATCTTTCAGCTTTATAAATGAGTTACAGCTTTTAATATCTTGCAGCCAGGTGGCACAGCGTAATGACACATGTTACAGAAGAGTAGTCAAACAATAGCCTAATTAAATCAGCCACCGAAACAATCACAGCCAGGATGTTGTTGTCTGCAATAAAGGTGTCGCTGATCCTAAGCCTCGAGAAGTAGGCAAATATCAATACAAGCAGGGCTAAAAATAAACCTGAAATCATGAGGGTGTAAATGAAATCAAGACGTCTGTACTCTGATGTTTATCCCTTCAATATTGAAGGGATAAACTTCCTAACTGAACCATATCTAAAGGCACCTGGTCCACTTTACAGTCAGTCAGCATGTTAGAAATATCCGTTTTTGTCTTCTTAACAGTCTGAAGCCGAATCAGACATCCAAAATGATCTCACTTCAGAGGGGAAATTATGGCCACAGTGTGGTTCATCAGTACCAGAATATAGCAGGACTGTAATTACCACAAAATGCAAACGTAGCTTTCTTTTCTACATATACGAGACTAAAATTCTGCCCAATCAAATCCATTCAGTGCTCAAAAACATTTACCTCATCATCTGTGTATGAAAAAACGGAGGAGAGCATTTACTGTTCGCTGACTCTGTAGATCTGATGAGTCACACAGAAAGGTGTATTTTCAGGACATGCTTGGCTGTGGACAAGTAGTTTAATCAGTGATGTAACTTTAACGACAATTAAAGGCTTAAAATATCATACCATTTCACAAAGACTTTTTTTTAAAGACAGATCTCATCCGACTTCAATCGGAAACACAGTTTACCCAATGCAGGAACAGACCAGGTTAATGAAAGTTAATGAAAAAGGAGCCGTATGTTCTAGGTTACAGTGATTTAATTTGTAATATAATTCAGACACACAACACACACAGTCCCTGAGTATTCGAGATCAAGAAGTATTAAACACCCACAGCCAACCAGTCCAGACTCTTTTGTTTTCAAATTACACCAGTGTTTACTATTTTTAACTCTTGCTGAACTTTAAAGCAATTAGAGATGATGCCTTTTTATTCCAGCTTTAATTTATTCAGTGTGTTTGGGGGCCACAATGCTCTAAGTTAAAACTACTAAACTGAAATCTGTCATTTGCATTTTGTGGAAGTTGTCTAAACTCTTCAAAACTAAAAAAGCTGAGAGTTAAGGTCCTTACGCACCGGGAGCGTTTTTTTTTCCGTGTCATTACAAGCATTCATATTAGCGACATTTTCCTGTCCTGCGATATTGGGGCATTTAATTTTTCGTATCATGGTCGATTTTCTGGTGTAGTGTTTTCTGTTTTTAGTAACTGTGGCATACGGTAGCTCTTATTATTTTTAAAAGGAGTACCAATTTGCCATAATTTGAAGTTGAAGTCAACTTGATGTGTATCTCAGGTGCGTCAAAATTCGCCTCAGAATATTTCGTAATTTCACGTCATATATTTGCGTCGTTCCTGGTGTGTAAGGACCTTTAGTAACACTATTTTATAGGCAAGGCAAGGCCAGGCAAGTATATTTGAATAGCACCATTCATACACAAGGCAATTAAAAGTGCTTTACAGATACATAAGGATACAGAAGGAAATACATTAGAAATTTTAAAAAGAGAGATTAAAACAATTTAAAATCAATAAGATAAACAGCTTAAAATTAAAAAAAAACTTAAAACTAAAATTAACTGACTTTATTGAAATTGTTTAAACAGTTGAAATTCACAGAACATAAAGAAATTATAAAGGAACAAATCTGCGTAGCTGCATAGCTATTCTTTGAGGTGTTCCTGGTAATTACAACAGGCACATTAAATGTATATATTCTTACATTAGATTGTAAAAATTTCTTGGATGTTTGATGTACCTATAAGAAATTATTACAGCACTTAGTTATCTTGGATATTTTAGCAACAAACTGTGAACTCCATGTGGGGTAAAGTCAAAAGGTAAACCACAGAAAATATCTCTTGGGCATTCCTCAGAGGCTAAGTGTTGGTGCTTGTTTGAAAAGATAGGCCGAGCCCGTCTGACAGAAACACATTCAGGAAATTCCAAGGTGTCAGGTAAAGAAGAGGCAACTTGACAGTACAACTTTACTTAACCTTTCATTAGTAATTTATAAGGTGAAAGGTGTCAAGCACCAATCTGAAAAACTATGGCCTGCAGCTTCAGAAATATAAAAATGCATTTCTCAAGATAACAGAAGATTAAATTCTAAGTTTGGGTAAATTCCTGTTTACATAGTTTGAATAACATGAATCATATGGACTAGCTCAGTACATGTCACCAAAAGTATGTGGATGATCCTGACCTGACATTTGTCCCTGAAATTCAGGGACACCCTCAAACAAGGAGGGTAAGTCATGGGAGGTCACTGCTGAAAAGGCCGACTGTCAGCAGAGTGTTGTATCAGAGCAATTTATTTGAAGGTCGACAGGAAGGGAGAAGTTTGGGGGGGACAAGGTGCACAACCTAACAGTGATGACCACAGTCTTCAGAAGACTTTTCAAGAAAAAGCGATTCAGAAATTGGGAAAAACCAAGGTTCTTGAAGTCCAGGGTAAAGTTTCTCCAGTCCACAATGATTTGGGGGTACTGTGTCATTTTCTTATGCATGTCCACTTTTTTTATTAACTGTTTTTATTAGGTCCAAGGCCAACGCAATCGGCTACCAAAAGATCTCCTCTTCCAGCAGGACTTGTCACTTGCTTACAACACCAGTACTCCTACCAAATGGTTTGCTGACCATAATACTATTGTGCCAGATTGGCCAGCCAGCCTGTTCGACCTTCGCCCCATACAGTATCCATGAGTTATTTGTCAAATGAACCCTGAGAAACACCCGAACTGAAGACACGGACCAGCTGAAGATCACTATGAAGGCAACCTGGGTTTCAGTAACATCTCAATGGTGCAGGCTGATCTCCTCCATCACACTGACGCAGTAATTTGTAGTAAAGTGCCCCAGTTGTTTTAGCAGATACGACAGTGGCTGCCAAGTTTAAGGATTAAATAGCCTCTTTACATGTGGCACACAAATAAACCCCACAGCAAAACCAGCGCACTCATCCTAAGAAATAATCATGGGTACAGGATTTTTCATTTTGAAGAGCTTTAAGTTAAAATAAACAAATCAAAACAGTAAAAGCTTAAGAATATCACTTCACAATATCTTACATAACATACTCTGATTTGAATCGATACTTGCTATCCCAGCGGTTAATTCAATTATTGCAGCTGTTCTTACACACAGTAACAGTATGGTGATAGAAATATCAATATCATTGATACAATTGTAAAAACTGTGAATAAGCATGGGCCAATTAAGAAATAAATGTCTGAAAAACATTAGACAATCTGTACAATTTGAAAAGAGAGACTTCTTCAGTCTGATTATCATTTATCTGTTATCATTTTACTGCTGCAACATCTGAAATTCCCTTCTCACTTATCTTTTAGAAACTTCATTTATGGCTCTCAGTAAACAGACTTCTGAATTGACATGAGGTTGTAAACACCAAAAAGCAAACCGAGATCTGAAAAGAGAAATCGAAAATATACTGAAGTCAATATAAGTACAATAATCATCCTTTGGAGCCAGTACGGTGCTAAGGAGATATCACATATCACAAGACATGTCATCATTTTCTGCACAAAACCAAGGCCTATTATGTATGTAATAGTGATATAGCCTAGATATGAGGCTTCCCTGACAGCAGGACAAAGTTGCCCAGGCTTGTTCTAAAAATGAATCACCTTATACTAAATATACTGCAATGGGAGAACACTTTTCATGCATATTTGCATTTCTATTCATTCAGCTGTGTTTGGTCATTAGTTAAATGGTCTTCAGTCTCAAATATTCATACTCTGTGATCTGTAAACCCTTCATACACAAAGTAGGCATCAAATTTGTATGTAAAGATCTTCTTTCACTTTTGGTATTGTGCAACTGAAAATCTGGATAATTTCCAGTAAACTGTTAAACCTGACATGACCTGCAAGACAGGTTTTAAGAGACATAGGGAGAGAGAATGACTCAAGGTGTAAAGGGAGGAGGCAGGAAAAGGGAAGTCCAGGGCATGGAGAGAGAATGCAAAGGGGAGGGACATACAGTAAATAGAAAAAAAACAGGAACAAGGTGATAACACACGCCAAAGTACACCTGCACACCTGAGAACGGCCATCAGAGATGGTTACGGAAGGCAGACACACAGAGTCAAACTTCAGTTTTCATACTTTACAGCACCTTCCTGGCTGATACGGGCTTTGTTTAGACGGATTTAAGGATTAAACAGTTCATTTGTTTTTGTTTTGTTTTGGTCTAAATAGAGTAGGATACAATATTTGGATTGTTTCTGACTTAAATCTCAGCTGCAGCAACATAGAGTTCTGATATTTTTTTGTAACCAACATATCTGATGAAGATGTGGTCCATGAAGGTCATCATCCTCCTCTTGTTCTGCTATGGTGAGTACAGAGGAGCAAACATGCTGTGATTTTATGTTTTGATTTAGTGATATCACACACTTACATTTAAAAAGCTGTTAAATTTCGACAATGGACATCTTACAAGAAAAATGAAAAAAAATGGCAGTAATTTAACTTAGTCTATTTTATTACACTTTTTTTTTCTTTTTCACTTAGCTAGATGGAGCTTAGCTAATGTAATATTCCTTCTACTGAATTGCTTATCAAAATGGTAATTTTTAATGAGCTACTTTGTGTAAATTCAGCCTCATGTCGTTCACACTGCCATTGAAGTCCATAGGCCATCATATTAAACATTAATAAAGTGTATCAGTATCTAGGATGTAAATTGCTCTTTGTATAAGTTGCTTCATCCGTCTCTGGCTTCTATATTCCAATTTTGTTCACCAGCCCAAGAGATTGTGAGTATTTCCTTATATAAACGATGATATAGCAGGCAAAGTAAAGGAGCAGTGACGTTTTAAATAAAACAAAGTCCACTTTATGTAACTTCTCTGGATCAAGTTCATTTACAGTATGCTGTACTATTTAGGCTTTAGCAGCAAAACAGAGAAAATTGCAATATTTTTGCCCTCTGAAGATGTAATTTAAGAGGGAGTTTTGAATACTGACCAAACTTGGGCTTAAAATATGTTAAAAAAAAAAGGTGGGGGGTTATGATTGAAAACTCTGGCTTAAAATTATTAGATACAGACTACAAATACAGACTATCGCTCGCTCTTACCATTGTAAGTTTCCTTTCCTACTTTTGATTTGGAGAAAGTTATAAAATAAAAAAAAGGCCTGTTTATTGTTCTTCTCTGACTTGAACTAAGGGCTGGGACTTTGTGTCCACAATAAAATGATTCACATGGACTTTGCTCTTTCGGCTCTCTCCAACAGCTTGTCTGTCAACAGAGACTCGGAAAGTAAAGTTTGTCTCCAGGAACTTCTACAACATTCTCCATTGGGTACCTGTTGAGCCAGCTCTGCCTGGGCAAAAGGTACTCTACAGTGTCAAGTACTGGAGGTAAGACACAGTACAATGGATTGATGATTACAACCACACCGGAACCAAAGTTAGGTTCAACAATAGTGTTTGTAGGATGATGACTTGGTTAGATGAAAGTCCAGATATACTATAAATAAGTTTCGGACACGCCTGGCCACCAGATGACTGCCTTTATCTGTAATCTTGATCTGGTAATCTAGAGCCAAAGTGTTGGGGTGGTGGGATTACTCTGTATAGGTGTCTTAAGATGTAGCTAATGCATTTTTGTTTCTTACACTTCACATTGTCGGTTGTTAATTCATGAAGACTTCTGGAAATATTGCTTTTACGTTCAATAGTAAAGAAACATACTCTCAAACAGAGCAGGCAGATCGCTTGTCTCAAATCAGGGATCAACGTGGCTTCTAGTTATCTCCTATGTTTGTGTGTCACTGATCCTGCTGTGAGCAAGTCACGTGACATGTTCCTGTCCTCATAACACTGTGTCTCAGGGTGCTTTGACACTGGGGACCCAGACTCAGATCTGAGAACATTTGACCCCAAAGTCCAGATAATTTGGTTGGTGTGAACACAATCCTAAGTGGAGCATGATTCATGCATACTCCAGCCTATAGTAGACATTTCTAATCATTGGAACAAACTGCATTCTGCTCTGTTCACTGTACAACCACTGTACACTTTAATGACTTTCAATTACAACTGTGTCCTCTTTTCACTTACTTATCTCAACAAATAGCCTAAAAAAGGGTGTAAGGGGGGTCTCCTCTAAACATTTATGATGTGAATTAATCTTCTATATTAACAACAAATGCTATCCCTGTCCTACTGACTCATACTCCCTGCCAACTTTAGCTGAAATAGCTTAAATGATTTTGGCCACAAGCTATCAGTCAAGTATGACTGGTTAAACTATGACTGCTACAAATCAGCTCCTTGTTGAAACAAAATTTATCATCCATCGCAGTGCTTCCTCCTAACAAGAACCAGGCACAGAGGAAAAGGGGTGCTCTCCCTGCTGCAGGCTTTACATTCCATGTAAGCATGTGGAAATGTAACAATTGCATAAAATCAATTCTTCTGACATAAGCAGTCCTAACTTAAATATGTCAGTTGGGGACAACCGTTTCTCCAATATGTAGTGCCAGACTAGAGCAGTAGGCTACATACTATCATGCAGTCACAAGAGGAGAAAGAAAGAAACGGGAGGAGCAGGAAGAGGCAGGTGTGTTTGTCTAAAAGAATCAAGAAATGGAAGGAACATAGCATGAGAGTTAATGAGTATCACCAAGCTAACAAGTTAACTATTGCCAGGTTAAAAAGTGAGTAACATTATTTAGTTTAGTTAGGATTTTATTTAGTTAGTACTCTAATGAAAATAAAGTCAACATTGATACAGTTTCGGTGGAATTAGCGGTCCCTGTCAGACTTATGACATATCTTTGTTTGTGTTTATCAAATATTACTGTTGTATTAATTATGGGTGGGAGAAAAAAATCAATATAGCATAGTAGCGCAATATTTTGTCTATTGATATATCGTATTGTCTCATCCACCAAGTATCGATTTTTTCAAATTAATTGCTAATATGACCTAAATCCTATGATAATGGAAAAATAAAATCAACTGTTTGTCCAGTGAGGTTGGCAGAGGTGAAATCATAGAGCAGGAAAAAGTTAGTACAACAAACAGGAAATGCAAAAATGCAGAATGCAGAAATGCATTTCTTTAGAAATGCAAGCAGGGCACAAATGCGATGGACATGACATATGAGGTTTGCAAGAAGTGCTACATAAAAATAAAATATTGCGTCAATAAGACAAACATTAGGGAAAGACAAATGCTAAATCAGCTAAGCAGTTGAAAAAAATGTATAAATCGCAATATATGGTATCGCAATTCTCACTGTATCCAAGTGTCGTGATAATATCTTATCGTGGGGCCGCTAGTGATTCCCACCTCGAGTATTGATCTAGTTAGACAGACAGGAAAAATTAAATCTGTAAAAATTAAAAAGAGAGAGAGAGAATAAATCAATTACTTGTTTCCACTTTTTATATGTTGAATTTTGAGTTTAATAATTGTTACATCAGTATCACCCTAAATAATCATTGCTATAATTGGTTGGATGCCTTTTTTTGCTTCTCAAGGTTAGTTTGGTAAGTTTCTGGAATTCCTATTAATATTTCTACATTTTTTTTCTTGGGGAACTGAAGTTTTGAATGTTTCAAACAATTTTAAAGTTTTATCAGCTACGGTTTTAAATAACATGACCGATCAGTGAATGTTACTCATTCAAAAATTGTCTTCTTGCCACCATGGCTGGAAAATATTAGCAAAGAAAACACTCTGTATCACTGAAAAACTACAACTTTTTTTTTTTTAATAACAGAGATAAACGAGTGGTTGGTTATAATCAGAATCTTTTCTTACAGGACCACGCTGCCATGTTCAGGTGGCTGCAGTGTCCCAGCTTGTTCACAGTGTTCTTGTATCTTTGCAGTGATGTTCAGGGGCAGCCACACATGACAAAAATGGAGTGTCAGAACATAACTGCTCTGTCCTGCGACCTGACTGCTGAAACCCCTTCGATTTATGACGTTCATTACAAGGCTCAGGTGTGCGCAAACGGTCGCGACCACGGCAGCACCATCCGCTTTAAACCTCTAGCTGACAGTAAGAATTTCAATGCTCAGTAACTGGTACATTGCTTTGCTTATTAAATCCTACTTTTTACAACCATTTCTGTCTCACATTTTTTAAATATCCTGACTTTATTTTTCTCATTAGCTATTTTTGGTCCACCGAGCCTGTCCAATTTCACAACGGTATCATCTCTGCACGTTAATGTCACCCTGCCTTTGGGACCCAACAGAGTCTCTGTGGGCGACATCATCACTGGAAGCAAAAAGGGGCCTTTTGAGACGGTTATTGTTTATGTCTTAAACATCACCCATCCGAAGTGGGCAGCACATGTGAGTCTGCATTTGAACAGCATAATACATCGTATGAAAATTCACCTTACATGAAATGAAGCCATAAGTAGACATTGGATGATAGTTTCTTTGTCTTTGCTTAAGTATCGAGTTTTAATGTTTATCTGCCTTGAACAAGAAGCAAAGGACCAAATCAACAATTAATTCATATGACCCACTTTTCTTCTAGGTCACTGAATCCAAAACAGGACGCTTCGTTATCAACTTGAAGAACAACCAAACAGAGTATTGCGGCTATGTGGTCTACAAGCCCTCCTCTGAATGGGGTCGTTCACCGAGTGAGAAGGCCTTCTTTTGTGCCAAACTGCAAGGTGAACACACACAAAAACTGAATTTCTTCCTTCACACTCTAATTGGATAATAAATTCACCAGAAAATTTGTATTGCTAGAATCCAAGAATAAAAATATTTGAAAATGGAGGGTTTTTACATTTTACTTCAAGATTTTTCACCTCATTTCTACAAATATTTGTAGCCACTTCAAAAAAACCTTCAGTGTTTAATAGCAAATGTAGAGTGTGTTATGATCAATGCAGCCCGATTTTAGATGTCTGTGTGATTCTTGTACCCAGAGAAAGAAAAAAAGAAAATGTAAGGATTCTGCTGGCATAAAATCATTATAATCCCAGACACATAGCTAAAGTCAACTCAACATTTTTAAATGTACTCAAAGTTTCGTCAATGTTTTTTAAGTAACCCAAAGCTTTAGCTGTTCTATTCCTGGCAGAGGGAATCCCCATAGAAGTCTCTGCCCCTCCTCTTAAGTTCCTGCTCACCAACATTCATTAACTTCCAAGAAACACCTGTCTAATTGCACAATTATCTAATGATATATCCAGTAATGTCTTATGTTAATACTTCACTGCGACCCAAAAACATGCCTGGTCTTGTGTGTCACTGTGGGAATTTTTCTAGCATGCTATTTCAGAGCCCTTGAGCGTATCAGTTTTCAAAGATGTGTCTTTTCCTGATAAGTGTTTGACACCAACTCTACTCTCCCTCAGGTGATCCTCTTAAGAGTTTGCCGTGGTTGCTAGTGGGTGCTGCTCTTCTGCTGGCAATCCTTATAACTTCAATCGCATGTATTATCCACTATGTGAAGGGTGGAAAGAAAAATAAAATGCCAGAGTCATTGGTAAGAACATATTTTCACAATTCTCCTGTGGCGCAGCCTCAGAATTACAAGGAAATGATACCTAACAGGAAGTTCAAGGCCTTCAGGCACATTAAGATGTAAACGCTGCCAATGTGACGAACACACTTCACATGAACCAAAACCATAAAATATTTCAGTGACTCATGTTCCTTCAAGTGATTGGAAAAGTCCTGTGGTTTTATCTACAGAATTTCCATCGTTCTTGTAATTTTTTTAAGGCTGTGCCACTTGTGTCATTGTGGTTTGGTAAATGCCAAAGTGGAGGATTAAGGCACAGAGTTTGTACAGATTCTGTATAAGGTTCTAGTCCAAGGTGATACAACAGATGAATGGTCAAAGTTAATAGGCAGAGAGAACTTCTCAACAAAATTAACTTTTTTTTTTTTCACTTTTCTGAATTTTTATAGCTTTGTGAAAACTTGACTGTGCAGCTGAGATTTTTGTTTTATATATATCCTATCTAAAATTGGTAAAATTAAGATAAACTACTTTTGGTCTGCAGCTGCTTAGCTCTAAGTATAGGTATCCAGCAATAGCTGATGGTTAAAAATATCATAAAATACCAGCTTAACTACTTGTTATGAAATATAGTTCCCTCATTTTTCCTTTCTTGTATATTTGTTTTAATTATCAACTCATGGAAAAAGCTGTTGATTTGTTTAAGAAGTTGCTCACCTGTCTGACTTTAATTACTTTGTCATCCTTGTCTTCAAAACAGGTGACCCCTTCCAATTTCCCGCCCGTGGTCTTGGACATCCCAGATGGTAATATTGCCATTTCTAAACCAGAATTCAACACTCAAGGTGAAAAAACTGTTTACGCAACCATACAGGTGAAGCCAAATCTGCCGTTGGACAACAAAGTGGGTTATTCTCCTCAAGACATTTCCTTCCAAAGCTGGCAAGGCAGCGCTGAGTCCTCAGTGAGCACAGGTACACAAACCCCTGTCCCAAATCCAAGAGACACCAGCAACCACTCCTCAGAAATCTACAGTTGTGTGGCTGTCCATGTCCCTGCTGAAGACAATAATGATGATTCTGTTAGTGGAGAAAGCTGGGGTAAGGATGAAATAAGTCCAGAACTGACCATGAATGGAGTACTACCATCACCTGGTCTTGACCCTTTGGAAAGCAAAGCTGCTATGCCACTGCTGCTGCATACAGTCAGGGATTCCAATGGACAACTTATGTTGCCTTCACTCACTCTCCAGTTACAGAGCAACGAGGGTGACAGGGAAAGAAAACCCCTTTTATCAGACCTCATAGACTCAAATACAGAGGGGCCCTTGTTAGTGTCCCTGCACAGCTTTGACAGCTCAGAGTGGTCAGACTCAGGGTGTGATGACAGCACTGTAAACACACCAACATATCCTTACTGCAACACCGACAACTCCCCATCTCAGCCAGTTGTTCCTTATTTGCAACACGGATGTCAGAGCGCACCATCTAATGATGCAATTTTAGCATCAGGTTACAAACAAAACTGGACGCCCGCAGTCTTTCCTGGAATTCCTTTTAAAGACAGTTGTGAATACAGAAAGACAAACAAGCCGTGGACATGGACTAGTAACAAAACAGAGGAGGAAAAAGAGGAATATGATGAGCCAGAACGAGAGGGAGATTGTAGGGGAATTCTTCTAGGGGGTTGGGGGTTACAGATTGAAGACTAACTCTCCTCTTTTGACTCTGGACACCATGAACATGCTTTTTCATCTGCATCCTAAAACAATGTTGAATGTATACTGCTGTACCTTTTCAAGGGAATATGAAGAGGAAGTTGATGTAAGCACTGACAGCTAGTTTGATGATACTGCAAAGGTCAGGCAGATCAATTGAGAGACAAATGTTTGATATGCAAATGAATTGTCTGAGTATTGTCTAACACATCACAACAACACCTTGAATCACATTTCATTCAGAAATTAGATGGAATTGTGTTTTTAGTTTCTGCTCCCAGGGTTCCTACACAGTTGGAATTTCTATACTTTTTCATACCCTGATCTTCAGAGTTATTTTTGGAAATACCTACTTTTCTATCTTAGAAAACAGTATTTCAGAACTGTGGTATTGGTCTGGAAACATATATATTTTCCATACTTTACTTTTCATCTTCCATACTTTTTAAGACCTGGAAATTGATCACATTTATTTCCATAGATTTCGAGACTTGGGTAGGAACCCTGTAACCCCAAACCTGAAAACCATGAAAAAAAGAATAGAAAGTTTGACAACACTTGAAGAAAATTTGTACATAGATTTTAAGTCCTTTTTTTACTGTAGTCAAGTCAATATTTAACAAAAGAGCCATTTTTAACAGGGTATTTATTTCAAAGTAAATGTCTTAATTAAAATAATGTTTACCGGACTTTAACTTTCTTGTTATCTGTGTATAGTGTAGATATTTTACATTTGATAGCTTTGTAAATTACGCACAGACAAATCTTTAGAGTGTCGTTGATGAAGTCTAAAGCTGTTGTGTTGTCTAGTATATGGTTTGTCCAGGATATTTATAACCAACGTGAGTCCTCAGATTGTGCTGAACTCCATGTTTTCTCTCTGGGAAAAAAAATGCATGTGCAGCTTGAAGAAGAAAATGGTTTCATGCTTACCCAGTAAGAAAATGTAGCCGGCGTGTAATTACAATGTGGACGGTTGACCTTTGAGATTAGATTCAATTAGAGTTTAAAATAAACCTTATGACCTTGCGTCTGAGCAAAGATTTAGACACAGCTCAGCACCAAGAACACATTTCTAGAAGAGTCCTCAGTGACTGGATATAAAATCAAGTATAACCTTATTTCCATGAAGATGTCTACGTATTATCAGAGTTAGAAGGAATACATAAAATTGACTGCATATGTAGATGAAGCGAATACAATATTTCATATTTCTCTGACTCACAGAGTTCATGAACTCATTTTATCCTCTTCACTGTTTGCTGTTCTTTTAGGGGGAAGAAATTACAATGTGGAAAAATATATTAGACAGCAGGGTCATGGTGTTAGCTGGGCCAAACTGATATAAGTAGGACATTTAATAGCCTGAGCGTTATCTTTTGTACTCAGTTGTAAAGCAATCGTGTCAGGTGTGTTGAAACAGCACAATGTGAGTCACATACAGGCACAATGTGGAGCATTAGATGAATTACATGTATGTGTTATGGGAGGACAAAGTGCAGGGTAAATGTAAATGGATGCATGTCATACTAAGGTTTAACTCAGTCCAACTATGTTTGTCAAAGAGTTCATGACTTAAAGATTGAGTGTCATAACAGAAAAAGGTAATAAACAACAAACTAAAAACAATATTTCTGTGCTTACACTTATTTTCTGTTTTAACTTTTATCTTACAGAGCCTCTTCTTTAAAACAACAAAAATATTTACGTTTCAGGGTGGATGTATTGGTTACACAAAAAATGTTTAATTCAACTTCACACTACACACCGAATGGTAATAAACTTCTGCTATATGCAATGAACCTTGTTACACAGTGTCCACATTCAATGTCACAGTCAATAAAAATGGAAATGGATTGGGCAACGGATCCAAAGTTCAACTAAACAACCTGTTGCTAAGGAGTGTCTGTTTTTACACAACACAACATTCGCATTTGTGATATTCCAAATCAAATGAATGTTAAACTGTATTTGTGTGTATAAAAAATAATGCTATAAATAATAGTTATCTTCAGAAAATGCTCTCCGGTGTCAAGATAACTCATTCAAATCTGGTTTGAAATGATCTGAAGGACATGGAGTGGTGTTTGTAATGAAGTTGGGGATTTACCCATGATGTTATAATGAGATCTTCTCCCTCCTTCCCCTCCCTTTTCCAGGCAGCGACAACAGGAAATGGCCATACCATTTAACTGAAAAACACAGAGGGGGAAACAGTGTAGCTATAACTGCATCCATTGGACATCTTCCAAGGGATAATATGAGCCTTGAGCAGATCAGTGTGTGCTATGTTATGTAACTGCTACCAGATACCCCAATGGATTATGTCACAATATAACTCTGATCTTTATAAAGCCAGTAGGAATAAAACTGAATATAGACAAGATGTACAATCTTTAACAATTATAGCAAATGTGCCACTAACTTTATTGGGGGGGATCAGAGGCCTCCTCACAGACCAAAATTAACTTTTTTGGTAATCTGCCAACAGAGAGTGAGCCAAAAACTTCTGCCTGCCAAAAAAAAAACATTGACGGAAAGAAGCTCATACACTTTCTTTAATCTGAAACTCACATTAGTAGTATCATTTTAATAAAGAAGTGTTTTATTTGTGTTTATGTTGATTCTATTGGATTTGTCCATCAATCTGAGCATACTTTGATAGACTGGGTTAGCTAAAATCCAAGCCTTTCTTTCTCTTCCCTCCTGTTACAACTCTCAATTTAAACGAGACAGCTGGGATCTATCCTGAGATCATTCGGCTTCCTGTAGAAGTGAATACTGAAGTGAGGGGGTGAATGTGAAGTTATTTTGGTGAGTGACAGCAATGCACAGATTTGTTCATCTACCAAAGCACCACTTAGCAAAGAGCAGCGTTGAAACATCCATCTACCAGCATCTCATTTTTATCTGCGAAACTGTTTAATTACCAATGACATTCGTTTTAACATTTCATTATACAAATGCACCATAGAACCCTAACTGATGATGTGAGGGTTTCAGTGGGGGTTTCAGATCTCTAATCTAGTGAGAGTATAAGGCCAGGTCAGATCAGGACAAGGGGTGCCAGGAGTCTGAACCGCCCAGATATGTCATATTCACTTACTCCATCTTATTAACTTTTTTTCCCTCAACCAAGTCCTTCAGTAATTGGATTAAGTCACTTGTGAAAAATAGAATGTGTCAGATAAAGTAGGCTACAGCTGTTTCCGTATTTTGTATAAATATTTAATCAACATTTGGGGAAGTAATGAATCAACTCTATGTCAGCAAATACCCATAATAAGGGACTCAGATCTGTGTGGGAGCAGCAATAAACTTCATCAGAACTTCTCCACCGTTCCTAAAGAGTATTTTCATATTGTGTCTGTTTAAATAGACAAAAAGTGCAAAAAATTCAATTTTAGAGTTTCAAGTGCATCAGTCACAGACCTGAAATATTACTCAATACGACAAGAGGAACAGATTCATAAATCATGACAACAAACTGCACCAACTGAGTAGACACACTGTACACTTTCCAGGATAGTAAATACTAAATGCTAAAATCCCACTCCATGAAAAATGATGGCAAAACTGAATCAATACATCCTGTGACACACTACCAACAAGAAACTTGTATTATGAACAAGTCCAGAGCTCATGATTTATGACAAGGTTTCCCTAAAGAAATTGCTGGTATTCAAGACTATTGTATGCACAACACAAAAGAACCTAAGACTAGTCTAAGAAAGTAAACAGGTACTGTTGTCAGAGGATTTAACTTCCAAAGGTCAATGCTTAAAAAATAAACTTATACCTTTGATCTAACTAGCCTGTAGACATGTCAAAGATGAAGAATTAACCTCCAAAGGTCAATGCTTGAAAATCAAGTTATATCTTCGATCTAAGTAGCTGGCAGACATGTAAAAGACAAGCAAGGTCAACAATGTGTTCACAGCCAATCTAGTGATGTCTTTTGGCTTTAACCTTAGAACTCCCAGCTATATTTAGCTTTTTTTTGTTGTAAAAATCTATGTAGCAACTCTATCCTTTCAAGCACAGCAAATATATACACATCTTTTTTTTCAGGACGACCTCAGCTGTCAGTTTATGGGTGCAAAAATTATGTAAAATGAATGTGACAGTAAATTCAAAACCATCAAAGTCAACCAAAACACAAAAAAGGGAAATTGATCCCAACATTATTTTGCTCAAAAAACACATCTACAGTGACCAAGCCCTTTCTCACCTGCACATCATTTTCTTAAGTCTTGGCTTTCAGGAGAAGAAATATTGGGATTGGAACAAACACACAACAGAAACTATTTACAGTTTAACACTAATTCTTCCAACGTTTTTTTGCTATTTACAGTTGTTTTTGCCACTCCTTGAAGCAGTTCCTGCCTGGGATGAGACAGAGGGTCACATCATACTGCTCATAATCTCTTCTTTGCTTGTTTCCAAGCATTGAGGACCATTATTTCTTATTTTGTAGACAAGCAGGGAACTTTCTTGATCTTTGGTTGCCTCTAATTGGACACTACCATCAAGGGAACAATAGAGGAAGAATACGAGACCATGTAATCGGTTGAAAGTTTGACAGAAAAAGCCGTTATCAAAACAGCTTGTCAAACCCGGAAGACATTAGCAGCATTTAGCAATAACAATCTTTTTTTAAATCATAACAATATGATAAATAATCATGTTTTCACCGGTATATTACTGCAGATTTACCATCAAACGTCTCTGATCAAACGCCTATTTTTGTGGCTGGATTGTAAACCTTGTGGCAGGTGTAGAAATGACTGGAAACCGTCGATAGATCGCCAAAAGGGAAAGCTCTTGAACACTTTTTATCCCATAGAGATATACAGTATGGTTCCTGAGAAACTATTAACAATATTAATGGTGTCACGTGGGATTGCCGGTGATTCATCAGAGTTCTAAGTGTTAGATAGAACATTTACCTGTATCTTTAATAAAGGATGTAACAGCATTTTTTGTTTTTTTGGATTGTAGAAATGAAGCAACAGAGTTTGAGGGTGTTGGTGGAGGGCTGCCTCAAATTTTGCTTTGTTGTTCTGTGTGATCCAGTATAAACCAGCAGTTATGTTGCATGTTTCATAGCTGTTGGGCATTTTGTGACCCTTTCTACATCAAAGCTCCAGCATGTCAATGAACATGGTGCTTCTTTTCTGCTTTTTTGAATACAAGCCAGCTCTGCTGCCCTTTACATCGTAGTGGGCCCTGTGCTTGAAGTGAGAACAGGGCTGACAGGGGAACAGAGGAAAAAGTAGGCATTATAAAGGATGATTTAACAAGAGCTGAGTTCTGACCCCAGAAATGCACCAGCAAAGTTCAGCAAACACAAAAATACAGCAATAACATGAATATGTGAAGTAGCTCATGTGAGTGGGAGGAAGTAGGAGGTAGAGAGACAAAGAAATTGGGTTAGATCCAGTCAAGAAAAATTTAGGGCAATCACCTCCAAGAGAAATGGTACATGAAATGGTATAAAGGAGTGAACCTGGGAAATAAAACTTCCAAAACCAATCTCCCACAAGACACAGTGCGGGACAGAGGAAAGAGGGGGTTACAGATCTCTGATGTGTTTGAAAAGGGAGACATGGCAGGGGGCAAGTTGTCTAAGTTTTCATTATGGTCTTTTCTTCTTTCCTCCTATCTAATTCTACTCTGGACAGGCATATAAAAACCAGCCTTCACTTGCCTGGCAGGAGTGACAGTTTCTTTTCTTTCCATCTGTCAGAAGGCTGTCTTTCTACTTTCTCAACTCTCCAGGTCCTGGGGAGATTGAATGGGAGATTGCAGGGCAAACCCTCTCGAGTGCCACAAGCATGATGGAACTTTAAAAGGGGGATAGTAGTTGGGATGAACCCACTGATTCTGCACAAATAGAATTTCAATCACAGCAGAGGGTGTGTGCTGGCCCCAGATCAATGAATATATGGATGGCTATTTTGGCCATTTCTTGCACTGAAAGCACAAGGGAGGCAACCAGCGTTGACTCTTGTCCCAGGAAATGCTTGTTTCAATCAATAGCAGAGAAGTTAAACGCAGGGTCAGAATCCTTACATGAATACTTAGATTCTTTCCTAACTTAAATGAAAAAAGAAACCCTGCAATGTCTCCTTCACTGATCCCCCTTTCAATTTTCTTGACTGAGTGTATTGGTAGAGATTCCTATTAACAATTAACAGCTCCTTTGAGGTTTAAATTTCTAAGCGGTCTCTCGGAAAGCTAATTTTGGGTATACACCGCTAAGACTGCTTAATTCATAATTATATTCCCTATACATATTCAAGGCTAAGTTCTAACATGAAGAGATAAAGCAGGGGGAAAATCTCCTTTGAAGAAAATTTACCCCATCAGAAAGTGTTTGAAGAAGTTGCAAGGATAACGTTTGTCATCTTAGTTGGCCCAGGATTCACCCTATATCTTTGCTGTAACTATCTTTTTCCAGACTCAGATAAGATGCTGAGAGTTAACTGGGTCCACTGAAATGTAGCTTATGATTCTGTAACTTTGATTTGAAAGTTTGACATTGCATCATGAGGTTAGTTAATTGCTGTTTCACATTTACCATAGAAGATAATCTGATAAGAAGTGTGGGTGTTAAAAAAACTCACAA